GCTGAGTGGAGAGTGGAGTGGAGTGAGGAGAGACGTGTGGCAGGGGGATAAATCAGTCAGCTATTGCCATAGTCCAAGCACAATTTGAAGAGGACTTGCACCAGGGTGGTGCGAGTGTAAGAGGAGAGAAGCGGACATATTCAAGAGATACCACAAAGATAAAATCAATAGGATGTGGCAACAGATTGGATATGGGAAGGGGAGGGGGTGAAAGATAGCGAGGAACAAAAGATGACACCTCGGTTTTTGAGCCTGGGTGACTAGTGGTACCCTCAACAGTAATAAGCAAGTTAGGAAGGGGCAGGTTTGGGGAGGAAATATAATGGATTCAGTTTTAGACGTGTTGAGTTTAACATTCCCACGGAGCCTCCAGATCAAGATGTCCAATATGCAGCTGGAGATACGAGACTGGATGTTAGCAGAAAGGTTAGGGCTGGATAGATTTGAGAATCATCAGCACTGAGATGACAACTGATAGGATCACCACATAAAAAAGGACAGAATGGAAGAGGACCCAGGACAGAGACGGTGGGGTGACAGACGGTTAGTGGGTGTGACAGGGAGGAAGATCCAGCAAAGCAGACGGAAGGAGCAATCAGGTAGGAGGAAAACTTCTACCCCACGGCTAGCAAACTTGCACCAGATGTTACTCTTCTTATCCCTACATTACTTAATCACAGCAGCCTAAGAATAAACTACCTCCAAACCCTGTTACTCTTTCTTTTATCCTCACTCTCAATGCCACATTACTCATACCCTACTTTAACTCTACTCACCCTCCACTGTGTCCAATGGAATTCCTGTTCCATAATGAACAAACTTCCCTTCATTCTGGATCCTTCCTCCCTCATATGCCTTCCATTTAACGGGATCTGATACCTGCTTTCTTCCAGATGGTGTGTCCCTGGCCATTCGTCAGTACTGTCATTACCTTCACTCACCACCTTACCAGAGCAAGGTAATTCTTTTATTATTTCCTATTTCCCTCTCTCACTACTCAGAGAAGCTATTCCAAACCTCCTCTTCTCTTTTCAGTGTCCCACATCTCCCCATCCTCCTAACATTTTCAGCAAATGAACTTGTTTTTAACTTAACAAAGGAAACTGGCATTCAACTTGAGTACCTTCTTCTTTATTTTTTACCCCAGACTCTTTCTCTTCCTTTTCTCAAGCCTTTGATAATGAGGTGGCCCTTTTTTTTTGCCACAGTCAACCGTCTACATGGTCCTTTGATCTCAACTCCTTTCATTTTCTCTAGAAGAATGACAATCACCCCCCTTTTTCTCTAATCTGATTCTTTACCTGCTGCCTTTAAACATGCCCAAGTCTTCCCCATCCTTAAAAAAAGAAAACCAAAACTATGATCCTGTATCTTCTCCCCTTCTCTGCCAGACTCCTAGAAAAAACTTGTTTACACTTGCTAACTCACTCCACCACCTCTCCTCTCCCTCTCTTCTAATCTCTCTGGAATCTAGCTTCTAACCTCATGCAACTTAAACTTTTCTCTCTGAAGTTACCAACAATCTCTTACGTCCTAAATCTGATGATCTTTTCTCAGCCATACTTCCTGTCCTGTCTATTTCCCATCTGGTTTTTTATCATCATGTACCTCACCTCCCTGCTCAATAAAATGGCTTCATATTACTTCCGGGGTAAAAGTAAAAATCCTGTTTGGCACTTTAAGCTCTTCATTTGGCCCTTTTCTGCATTTCCAGTCTTGTTACCCCTCACTCTCCTCTATCCTCTCTACAATCCAACCACACGGACCTTCTTGCTGTTCCTCAAAACACAACTTGCATCTCCTCCCTCCATCCATGCCTTTTCACTGGCTGCTCCCCATGCCTGCAATTTCCTCCCTCCTCACAAAGGCCTTCTGGCTTCCTTTAAGACTCAGTTTAAGTCTCATCTTCTGCAGGAAGCCTTTTCCAGTCCTGTCCCTCCACCCCCTACCCACTCCCATAATGCCTTCTGAAACTACCTTCCATTTACTCTATATTTACCTCATATGAACCTAATTATTTATATGTTGTTTTCCCCATTAGAATGCAAGCTCAAGGGCAGGTACTGTTTTACCTTTCATCTTATCCTTAGCACTTAACATAGTGCCCGGCTCACATCAAGTGTACTTAATAAATGCTGTGTGACTGCTGACTGAACACTCTGTCCTGGAGCCTCCTCTTCTCAATCTATACTCTCATTCTTGGTGATCTCATTAGTTATTGTGGGTTTAATGATCATCTCTATACAAATGACTCACAGAACTCTCTCTCTCCATATTCGTTATCTATATCTATCTACCTATACACACACAGACACAGACACAGACACACACAGACACACACACACACACACACACACACACACACACACACACCATACAACCCTGAGCTCCAGTCCTTCATGACCAACTACCTATTGGACAGATAAAGATATTAAAAAAAAAACTCCCCTTCAAACCCACTTCTGAACTTTCCTATTTTGTCAAGGAAACTACCATCCTTCCAGTCACTTAGATGATAACCACTGTGCCAACCTCAACTCCTCACTCTCAATCACCTCATATATCCAATCAGTTGTCAAATCTTGCCAATTTGACTTTCATATCTCTCAAATTCATCCCCCTTTTGCCATTTCACAGGACTACACCTTGGTACAGGCCTTACTCATCTGATACCTAGACTCCTGTAACTCCCTGTAATATAATGTAAGTGTCTCTGCTTCAAGTCTCTCCCCTCTCCAATCCATCTTCCACATAGCTATCAAAGTGATATTCCTAAAACAAAAGTCTAACTACGTCAATTCTCTGCTTGCTAAACTCCAGTTTTTCCCTATTATCTTTCAAAGTCCTTCCCCGCTGGCTCCAACCCATCCTTATAATCTATGTAATACTCCTCTTTAGATACTCTATGGTCCAACCAAACAAGCCTTTCACAACATTTGTTCTCCTACCTCTGTAATTTTATACTAGTTGTCCCTCTGCCTGAACTACATACTCTCCCCGTATCTACTTCTCAGAATCCCTTGCTTCCTTTAAAATTCAGCTTAAACACTACCTTCTTTATGAGGCTTTTTCCTCTGTAAAATTACCTCATATTTATTTTTGCATATACTTATATCTTCCGTGACAATATGTAAGCTCTTTGAGAGACTTTCATTTTTACTTTGTGTATCCCTAGCACTTAGCAAAGTGCACAGGACATAGAAGGGCTTATTAAATGACCTGCCTAAAAATTACATAACAGATCTGGGCCTGAAGAAGATAAAAAATAAAGAGGAGAGTGGTTGAGATATAATGGCATGAGCAAAGGCATACTGGAGACAGCAGAAGTTACATTTAGTTGAGAGGGGAATACAACTAAAAATATGGGCAAGCATGGACCAGACTCATAAAGTTTTCTCAATTCAACAATTCTGTTTTATACTAAATAGGACCTTATGGAACTTTTAATAAGGAATTCATTAAGGTCTCTTCTGATCCCTCCGTGTCTCATCAGTGACTCTGGGTTCTCAAAGGCTATGCCAGAAAAATGATAATTTTTAGCAGTTCCTTCTAAACTTGAAAGGCTTCCAGTATGGGCCAACTGACTATCTGTCTACAGTCCAAAGACCACTCAATCAATTAACAATCAACAAGCATTCATTAAGCACCTACTACGTTCCAGGTACTGTGCTAGGTAGCTAGGGATACAAAAACAAAAATGAAACAGTCCTGGACCTCAAGGCACTTATGTTCTATAGGTTAAGGCAACATATACAAATGAGTATATAGAAACCATGGGGGACAGCCAATTAAAGGCAAGGAAATGTAATGTTGTGTGTAAAGAACATCAAAAAGGCCAGTCTGACTAGATCATAGAGTACATGATAGGAAGGAAAGTATATTAAAGCTGGAAAGGTAGTTTAGGCTTATCTTGTTTAGTTATTAATGCTTAACAGAAGAGTTTTAATTGATCCTAGAAATAATAGAGAGCCACTGGACTTTACTGAGTAGAGGAGTGACATAGTGAGACCTGTGCTTTAGGAATATCACTTTGGTAGCTATGTAGATGATGGAGTGGGAAGAACCAAGAGAAAGAGAGATCTATTAGGAAGCTACTGCAATAGTACAGGTCTGAGGTGAGGAGGGTCTGCACTACGGTGGTGTCCATGTGAGGAGAAGCTGAATACAAAGAGATGTCGCAGAAACAGGAATGACAAGATGTGGTGAGCGACTAGCTACATGGGATAAAAGAGACTGTGGAGTTAGGATGGCTCTAAAGTTGTAAACTTAAATGATTAAAAAGATGGTGGTGTTTACTACTGAAATAAGGAAATTCAGAAAAGGGGGTGAATTTGAGGAGAAAGACAGTTCTTTTTTAGATACATCTGAGATGCCTATGGGATATCTAGTTTGAAATGTCCACTAGGGAGCTGGTGATGAGGGACTGGAGCTCAGGGGAGAAGATAGGGTTGGATATACAGGGTATTCCAAAAGTCTTATTGCAATTTTAAGCTATTAATGCTTGGACCATCCTTTATAGTTCTGTGAGTCATTTGCACAGAGAAAACAATGACACCTATGGGAGCTAATGAGGTCAACAGGAGGTAGAATTAGATAAAGCATCAGGAGAAACTAATGTCATCAATCAGAGGCTCATCACCAGACTAGCATCAGGGTAGTGATTTTTTTCTGGGGCACCATTAACTCTCACAGATTATATACTAAATTATAAGAGGGGTTATACTTTGTATTGGTAGAAGTTGTACATATATCAATAAAATAACAGATGTGGATATGAGCATAAGAATTAAAAATATCCTTTTTGACAAGTTTCACAAAGCCAAATAAAGATTTTAATTCCTGATGTCAGCTATTTGAGAAGGTCACTTCTGCAACCAGAACCTTCAGTTTTACCGTGGTTGAAGGTTTAGGTAAACTTCACATTAACAGTTAGCTAGACACATCTTAATTTTGCAGCTGATTTGAAAACTATGTGATATTATTTCATGATTACCACCCACCTGTTGCTTCTTCATCAAAGCAAGCAAAAGCATTTCGAATCACATCTTCTGGATCTGTTCCATTTAATTTCTCACCAAACATAGTAAGAAACATGGTGAAGTTTATTGGACCTAGAGCCTCACTCATCATAGCATCTAGGTATGCATCAGTTGGATTCTTCCCTAAAAGAATTCACATGAAAAAAATTTAAAGTTGGTAACTATGATGCAGTTATTTCTAGTATGATAATAATCATTACCTTACTATATATTAAATTATTATTCAATATGCAATATTGTAATATTAAAGCTTAGAAAGCAGATTTAACCAAAAGTTACTTTGAGTAAAAAACAACAATGGTAACCACCAACATGAGAGCATGTTTAAATCTAGTATTGCTGTACACTCATTTGCATATGGGAAGTGAAGTAGTAGGAAAAGACTTGGTTTGAGGATCAGAAAATTTGGGTTCCAGTCAGGTCTATCACTGACTGACCATTTGACCTTGGAAAGTCACAAATCTCTCTCTCTAGATAAGTTCCTTCATCTCTAAATTAGGGAGAATATTAGTGGCACAATTTACCTCATAAAGTTTTGTGAAGATCAAGTGAGATGATGTATATTTAAGTGTTTTGTAATCATAAAATATTATATAAATATAAGTTACTATCATTATTTTAAACATTTAGTCTCTACCTTGCAAATGGATTGTTTTCCAAGTCTGCTAATAAATCAATGATTAGAAAACACATTTTCTCAGGCAAAAAGATTAAAAGTATTGTTTAGATTCTTAGTTTTGCCCATAAAAGGGTCTGAATTACACTATCATATTTTAGTTTCTTATTATATCTATGAGAAAATGAATTCTGAGTTCCAACTGGAAACTATCTCTTCAAGCCACATAGTTTTGAGGAAACTTTCCTGCTCTGGCTCTGGAGGTAAAAGGATCTCCTACATTGACTGCCACTTGAGACAGAAAAAGTGATTTGGTTCTCACAATGTTCAAAACCTGAGGACTCATTTTGCAACTGGAGGGTTACTGGTGATCTTAGAGAAAGCAGTTTAGATAGAGTGGAACAGAAAGAAGCCATTATCACAAGGGGTTAAGGATTACATGGGTAGTAAGGAAATGAAGGCTTTGAGTGTAGATTACTTTTTCTAGAAATTTGGCAGTAAAAAAGAGAAATATGAGAGGGTAACAGGTCTGAAGGTTTGAGGAGTTTTTTAAAATGGGGAGACAAGCATTTTTATAGAAGAGAAGTAGGCAATAGAGAGGTAGAAACGAAAGTTTTGAGGCAAAGAAGGGACGACTGATGAACGAATAAAGTGTTAGGTGTTTATTACATGCAAAGTACTGTGCTAAGTGCTAGCGATACCAACAGAAAAGACAGGTTGTAAAGAGCTCACATTCTAATGGAGGAGACAACATATATGGAAAGAAATTAGGCCTCAGAGTGCCGAAACAAAATAGATGGTAATATATCTTTTAAAATATCTTTCTCATTGATAAAAATCATCAGTTTCTGATGTCTAACCATTTGATAGTGCCAAGAATTTTCTTTTCTGGGTCTTCAATAAATGTAGTCATAGTACTACCTGCAGGAGCAGGTAGTTGCAAGGCTACATCTTTTCTGTAAGGGTTGGATTCCAGGATGATGCATTGTGGGTAGTGGGCTAGAAGAAAGCATACATGTGCTTTTCCAAAGGCTCCTGGGTTGAGGGTCCTGGGCTTCCCAGATAAAGGCTGTAAGGGTGGGTGGCTGGGAGCAGAACCAGCGACCTACTGTGTCCTGCTATTTCCAGATCTCTATGCCTATCTGCACATCCACTAATGGCAACTGGCCAGCCGATGCCACTGGACCCTCAATGATGGTTTTGGAACTGAGCTCGAAGCAGGTTAGGTGGTTGGGGCGGGGGACGGACAACATCAATCTCAAGGCTCTTAGGTTCAGGGTTCTGTGCAGTCTCCATCAAGGTTTGGGAGGAGAAAATGATCAATCGTGGTTTGACTTGTGTGGCACATATTGCCTCCTATCTCTCCCTTTGAGCGCCAGCAAAGCTGGCTTAGCTACCCCGTGGGTGGCAGGTAGTTGGCATATGGTGGGGATGGCTGACCATGGGCATTATTTAGACCAGTGATATCCAAGCTTTTTTGATTGCATATCTCTATCGGGAAAAAGTTTTTTTTTCTTCAGCAAATATCTCTAATTATAAATATGTATTACTATGACACTTACTCCTTCCAGTCTAAACAAAAATAAAAAGGAGGCTCTCTCCCATAGGTCACTACTACCTTAGGGTACAGAACCCACCCTCCAAGTCACCCTGTGACTGATCATATATCTCTTGGGTCATGCCACAGTCTCCATTTATGGACATCAAAGTGCTCAGACTAAGTGTGGAAGTAAATGAAACCAGAAAATGATTTAAAAGGTTCACAATGTGCTACAATTGTATGACATAAATCAGGGTCACCTGAAAAGTTTCCTGAGTCTGCCCTAGTCTTAAACTCTTTAAGAAATAAACCAGGCATTTTTTTTTTTAAAGAGGTCAACCTTGGAAATGCAGGCTTACCCCTTAATTCTCCTCAGCACCTCTTCTCTGAATTAAGACATCTAAAACAATTTTCCAGCCATTTAGAATGCAAAAAATTATTACATTGAACTAGGCCTAATCTATGAACATTGACCATTACGTTTGTTTAAAAACAAAAAACAAACAAAAAACCCAGAATGTACTAATGTAAGGCTCTTAAGAGATTAGAGTTAAGTTATTTACATGATCCCCTTGATGTCTGTCTGTATGTTTATTTTCTATTGTAAAATTCATTAGACATACAGAATACAGGATTAGCTATAGAGTCCAGAATAATATATCCTGGTTTCTTGTTTTAGTGCTCTGCCACATTGCTAGCTCCAAGCTATAGAAGTATTCTCTTTGTCCTTCAAAAAATTAGATCTTGTCTTGTTCTCCTGGCACAAACCCAGGATTCTGATCTAAATTGCTCTTCCAGGCAGCCTGACATTCCTAGCTAGCTGTTCTATCTTTCTGTTAGACTCTGCCTTGCTCCCAGAAACTGCACCCTGCCTCCCAGCCTGGCCAGATCTGCCAACCTGATTGGGCTTAAACCTGCCCATATGATGAAACCAGTAACTGAATCATAAAGCCCTAGGATTAGTATCAAACTCCAGTCTTGCTAATAATTCCCTTATACAAATCCTGACCCTTTGTTGCCTAGTCTCTGACTAGGTACTAGAATAACTAGATCCTGCTTGATTTCTTGCTTTTATTAAGGTAGGGTACCAACCTACTACTCTGCCTTAATTTAATCCCTTCAAGGGGCAGCTAGATGGTGCAGTGGATAGAGCACTGGCCCTAAAATCAGGAGGACCCGAGTTCAAATCCGGCCACAGACTAAACACTTGACATTTACTGGCTGTGTGACCTTGGGCAAGTCACTTAACTCCAACTGCCTAAAAAAAAAATTTAGTCCCTTCTATGTAGGTCAGGGACTCAACTTTGGGTCTGTGAATTTTTTTTAATTAAGTACTATAATAACTGTATTTTAATATGTTTCCTTTACAATCCTACATATTTTATTTTATATATTTAAAAACATTATTCTGAGAAGGTGTCCAGAGGCTTCAATCAGATTGTAAAAGGGGTCTATGACACAAAAAAAGCTTGAGAACCTCTGATCCCTAGGTGAACTCCTGTTCTTGGCCTTTTCACATTTGCCCTGCACTCTTGCTGCTCAAGTTTAGGTATGAAGTAATTCTTATTTCCACATCTAGAAATCTTTTTACATTAGTCTTAAGCCAGGTTCAACTTCTCAAATAGCTGTTAGCTCCTAATCAATTAATTCAATCCTTTCCCCTACGAACTTAGAGTTACTTGCTTTGATTGCTTTTCCTTGTTCTGTTTCACTAGAAAGCACTAGACTCTGAATTCTACTCCTGGCTCTGATATTATCCACTCAATCTTAGATCTAAGTCATTTAATTTTTTTCTCGATTCCATTTCATCATCTTTAAAATGAGAAGGTTGGACTTAATGACTTCTGAGGTCCATTCCAACTCAAAGATTCTATATTTCTATGTTCTCTAGTGCCTCTTATTGCTCTATTCTCAGTTAGACTATCACAAATTAGCAATTACATTTAACCTGATTAAGGGGAGTACTCTTGTGATCTCCCTGATTCACAAAATAATTTTTTTCAGGAAAAAAAAATGAGACCCTGAAATTTACCCAAGGAAGCAAGCATATCATGCAAATCTTCTTTGTCGATGAAACCATCTCTGTTCTGATCAATCATGTTAAAAGCCTCCTTGAATTCTTGAATCTGTGACTGGTCAAACATAGCAAATACGTTGGAAGTTGCTCGTTGAGGACGCTTCTTTGTGGTCTTCTTTGCCTTTTTGCTCGACATGTTGGATAGTGGATTCTAGAAGAGAAAGAAAAATTTATTGACTAAAACAAAATTTATGGCATCTAAAATTAGTGAGCAGAAAAACCTCATTGAAGAGTTGCTACTTACATTGGGTAAAGGTAATCGCAAAATAAACCCTACTTGCAAGATGAAAATAAAGTAACTCCAAAGAAACATATATAGTTTAAGATTAAGAAATAGATGTTTTCATTCTTTCTCCTTTTAACTTATGTTGGATAAACTTTTAATAAGTATGAAATCATTTCAAAAAATTCAGTAAAATCCCATTACAATTTTTTATATAGATTTGATTATATCATAGGTCACACTCTAGAGGCAGCATGTTCTAGAAGAAAGTATGTATATCTAACAAGATCTATGACCTTCCGAATTTCCCCATTAGCACCAAGGGCACTACCAACCTCCCAATTACTTATGCTAACAACCTCAGTGTCATGCTCAACTCCTTAACTCTTACTCACCCCACATATACAATCTGTTGCAAATCTTTTCATTTCTACCTTCACAACATCCCTCACATATGTTCGCTTCTTTCCCCTCATATAGCCACAACCTTAGTTCATGCCCTCATCACCACTTATTTATACTGCAAATGCTTTTTAATTGGTCTTCCTGTCTCAACCCTCTCCAATCCAACCCATCCTCCAAACAGCTGCCAAGGTGGTTTTCCTTGTGTTGGTCTGAAGCTCTAGTGAGCTTCAGGGGTTTCCTATTACCAACCAGGCCCTTTCCTATATTTTATTTTATTCTCACTCCTACAAGGCATTCCATGATCCAGCTATACTGCCCTACTTGCAATTCCTTCATTTCTCTTTTCCTTGTCTTTGCACTGGTTGTATTCTATGCTTAAAATGCTCTGTTCCCTCACCTAAACCTTTAAGATTCAATTCAAAACCTACCTTTTGTGGGCCTCTCCTCGTCTCCCCAGATGCTAATGACTCCCATTTCAGATTACTGTTCCATCTACTCTGTATATATCTTGTCTATACCTTGTTACCCACATGTTGTTTCCCCAATTAGAATGTATGCTCCATGAGGGCAGAGACTATTGTTTGCCTTTCTTTCTATCCCCAGAACTTAGTACAGGACTACCACATAGTAAACGCTTACAGCTATCACTGGGCAAACCACTTACCTTCTTTGGGCCTATCTCCTCATCTGTGAAACAGAGGCTTTATTATATATCCAGGAGAGCAGGGACATTGCCTCATTTAAACCCTGCCTCTCCTTGCCCCTGCACAAATGCCTAGCATTCACAGCAGTAATATACTCCCAAGGCCCCAACCAGCTCTAAAAACTTATCACTCCTATGAAAATTTGATATATTGTAACTTAATTAAAAAAACAACCCTGTAAACAAAGGTTTTCCATTCTTTTCAATTAAATGATCTAAAAACTATAGACTATAAACAACTTCTTAATGATAATGTTGTGGAATAATAACAATGTCACAACAGTTTTTTATCACATGTAATCATTACAGCTGAGGTGAGATGAGAGTCACTTGATTTAATTTATGGTATAACAGGGCAGAGAGGTAACCTGGTCCAGTGGATAGAGAGGCTGCCTCAAACCCAGGAAGACTTAGGTTCAAATACTGCCTGTGACACAAACTAGCTGCGTTAGCCCCAGATAACTCACTTCACCTTCCGGCAAGGGGCACCTAGGTGACTTGGTGGATTAAGTAACTGGCCTGGAGTCAGAAACATTCATCTTCATGAGTTCAAATCTGGCCTCAGACACTAGCTGTGGGACCCTAGACAGGCTACTTCACCCTGTTTGTCTCAGTTTCCTCACCTGTAAAATAAGCTACAAAAGAAAACAGTAAACCAGTCCAGGATCTTTGCCAAGAAAACCCCAAATGGGATTATGGAGAGTTGGACAACTGAACAACTCTAGCAAGTCTCTAAGAGTATAAAGTGCTGATTTACATAGCTAGAGGAGTTTCCTCACCTGGGAGTCCTCTACAACAATGAAATGACATGACAAGTCCAGTTCCCATTCCCATAACAGAGCTTCACTTTATCTCCCCAAATCTGAGATGATTAAATGGAGGAAAAGAATGGCTAGTTTTCTTTTAATGAGGGTATATTCCCGCAAATTACAATCATAACTTTTAGAAATATAATCAAATAATTTACATTGAATGTTATTAAATTAGAAGATATAAAAAATATGACAAGAAAAGGAAACGGGCTAGTCAGGTAAAGTAAGAAGGATAACAAATGGATAGCCCAAAAGTTGTACTGGTCAAAAGATCTAGAAGGCGGCTTCTACCACACTGGGTAGAGCTGAGTTCTGCTCCTGACTCTGCCACTATTTAGGTGACCTTGAGCAAGTCATTTAATTTTTTTTCTGGATTCCATTTCATCATTCTTTTAAATGAAGAATTTGGACTTACTGACTTCTAAAGTCCAAGATTCTATTTCTTTTTTTTTTGATGAGTTATTTTTTTAATGAATTATTTTTAGTTTTCAACATTCACTTCCACAAGATTTTGAGTTCCAAATTTTCTCCCCATGTCTCCCCTCCCCCAACCCAAGATGGCACACATTCTAAATACGCCTTCCCCCAATATGCCCTCCCTTCTATCACCCCCCCCATTCCCTTCCCTTTCTATTTTCCTGTAGGGCAGGATAGGTTTCTATACCCCTTTACCTTTATCTCTTATTTCCCAGTTGCATGTAAAAACAATTTTTAACATTCATTCTTAAAACTTTGAGTTCCAAATTCTCTCCTATCCTCCTTCCCCACCCACCCTCATTGGGAAGGTAAGCAATTCAACACAGGCTACACATGTGTAGTCATGCAAAACACCTCCAGTCCTGTTAAGAAAGACTAACTATATTTCCCTCCATCCTATCCCACCCCATTTATTCTATTCTCTCCTTTGACCCTGTCCCTCCTCAAAAGTGTTTGCTTCTGACTACCCCTCCCCCAATCTGCCCTCCTTTCTATCATTCCCCTCCTCTTTTCCCCTTCCCCCCTATTTTCCTGTAGGGTAAGATAGATTTCCATACCCAACTGAGTGTGCATGTTATTCCCTCCTTAAGCCAAATCTGATGACAGCAAGATTCACTCATTCCCTCTCACCTCCCCTTTTCCCCTCCACTGTAAAAGCTTTTTCTTGCCTTTTATGTGAGATAATTTATCCCATTCTACCTCTTCCTTTCTCCTTCTCCTACCACAATCCTCTCTCACCCATTAATTTTATTTTTTAGATATCATCCCTTCATATTCAACTTACCCTGTGCACTCTGTCTATATATATATCTATATATGTATATATATGTATATATATATATCTATCTATATATAGAGACAGAGATATATATATAGATATATAGATATATATATGTATATTCCCTCCAACTACCCTACTACTGACAAAGGTCTCATGAGTTACAAATATCATCTTTCCATGTATGAATATAAAGAGTTCAACTTTAATAAGTCCCTTATGATTTCTCTTTCCTGTTTACCTTTCCATGTTTCTCTTGAGTTTTGTATTTGAAAGTCAAATTTTCTATTCAGCTCTGGTCTTTTCTGGTTTTTGGTTGTTTTTTATTTTTTTTGTGGCAGGGGGGCCGGGCTAGACAATGGGGTTAAGTGACTTGCCCAGGGTCACACAGTTAGTGAGTGTTATGTGTCTGAGGCTGGATTTGAACTCAGGTCCTCCTGACTGCAGGGCCAGTGCTCTATCCACTGTGCCACCCAGCTACCCCCTTTTTTTTTGTTTGTTTTTTTTCAGCTCTGGTCCTTTCATCAAGAATTCTTGAAAGTCCTCTATTTCATTGAATTTCCATTTCCTCCCCTGAAGGATTATACTCAGTTTTGCTGGGTAGGTAATTCTTGGTTTTAATCCTAGCTCCTTTCACCTCTGGAATGTCATATTCCAAACCCTCTGATCCCTTAATGCAGAAGCTGCTAAATCTTGTATTATCCTGATTGTGTTTCCACAATACTTGGATTTTTTCTTTCTGGATGCTTGCAATATTTTCTCCTTGACCTGAGAACTCTGGAATTTGGTTACAATATTCCTAGGAGTTTATCTTTAGGGGTCTCTCTCAGGAGGTGATTGGCGGATTCTTTCCATTTCTATTTTGCCCTCTGGTTCTAGAATATCAGGGCAGTTTTCCTTGATAATTTCTTGAAAGGTGATGTCTAGGCTCTGTTTTTGATCATGGCTTTCAGATAATACAATAATTATTAAGTTATCTCTCTTGGATCTATTTTCCAGGTCTGTTGTTTTTCCAATGAGATATTTAACACTGTCTTCTATTTTTTATTCTTTTGGTTTTGTTTTATAATTTCTTGATTTCTCATAGAGTCATTAGCTTCCATTGCCTCCATTCTAATTTTTAAGGAATTATTTTCTTCAGTGACTTTTTGGATCTCCTTTTCCATTTGGCTAATTCTGCTTTTTAAGGCATTCTTCTTCTCATTGGCTTTTTGGACCTCTTTTGCCATTTGGGTTAGGCTATTTTTTAAGATGTTATTTTCTTCAGTATTTTTGGGGGTCTCCTTTAGCAAGCTGTTGACTCATTTTTCATGATTTTCTTGCATCACTGTCATTCCTCTTCCCAGTTTTTCTTCTTTTCTTTTCTCTTGCTTTTCAAAATCCTTTTTGAGCTTTTCCATGGCCTGAGACCAAGTCATATTTTTCTTGGAGGCTTTGGATGTAGGAGTTTTGTTGTCTTTTGGTTGCACGTTTTGATCTTCTTTGTCACCAAAGTAAGATTGTATAGTCTGAGTCTTTTGCCTCTGTTTGCTCATGTTCCCAGCCAATTACTTAACTTCTTAACTCTTTGCTATGGTAGGGCTCTGCTTCCATGTGTACTGTCCCAACCTTCAGGGGGTTCGTGCAACTGTTTCCAGAGATAATTCTAGGGACTTGTAAATTTTCAGTTCTTTCAAGGTGGTATGATCATAAAGGTTCACTCCTTTCCTGGCCTGTGCTCTGGTGGATGAGTGACCACAAGCACTCTTTTCTG